AGATGACAAGTGAAATATAGTTGCATGCTAATCATATGCATTGTTAGTTTAAATAAGCATTTTAAAAATACAGTTTCTGAGGTTATTTTATGATGAAAAGATGTTATAGATTAGTGTTCTTAGATCTTCAAACAAATCAATACATTTAGAATTAATAGATTAAAAATACATAACCACCTGCACCAGTTTGTGGAAGCTATCCTGTTGCTTTTTGAATAAAGCTTTCTGCCCAATTGTGTTTTATGTATGTGACTAAAGACTGGCCACTTACGTAGTGCATCAAATGCAAAGTAGACAAGAACTCGTAGGTTTACTTGCTCGTCTGCAAATTTAGTCTCAAGATTTACATTGACAGGTAAACAGAGAAGTGACAGCCTACACGCACCACAGATGAACAGCAGCCAGAGTTGTTTCTCTTACCTTTAGATTATGCACTTGAATTTGGTGTGAGAAAACAGAATTCAGTTGACTACAGTCTGCAATCTAGTGGTGAGATTTTACACACTGTACCTTTAACACTATAATCAAAGTCAGTTTGACACATGTTCCTTACAGATACAACTATATCTAAAGTTGTGCATTTCTTTGTGCACATCAAATGTGAAGTTGATCTCAGGACACAGAAGGAAACAAGAGGCGGCCAGAGTGCAATGCAACTTGTCTTGCTACCTGCTGACAAACACACACAGACGCAGAGGGAAATAAATATTCCACCAACATCCACTGTTATTTCTCTCTGCCATGAATACACGCATACGTCATGTGAACATTCATGCATACTGACGATGTTTGTTTTATGTGTGTGTAGTAAAGCACACACCCAAACACAAAAAACACACACTTACCTGTTGAAGTGATGAGATGTGATGTTTTGGTTCCCCCTACAGACACTTTGTCTCTGCCTTCACCGTGGAACACCATTGTTGTGTGTATGTTTATACATTGTCTTGTGGGTATGCAGTTGTGCCTGGTACTGCTATGGAAAGAAAGTGTATGGAATAAAAATCATCCTTTCCTTTTTTAATGCCAGGCCTGTTATTTATTGTGGCTATCTCGAATTATGCGTTGTTTCTGCTTCCGTTCAGAGTTTTTTCTCTCCTAGGTTTGTCCACTCATTTTTCCACGTTTGAAAAACGTCCAACTTCTATTTTACATATTTCACTTATCTCCTATCTTTATGTCTCAGTTGAGAAATGTGCCTGTTTATATGTGTGTGTGTGTCCTACCTGCAAGTCTTGCCCTTTGCCCAAGCAAACAGTTCAATGGATAATCTCCCATGTTAGACGCAGAGTCAGACATGTAATAAGGCTTAAGTGGATTTCATTCCTGTGCGTGAGCGGGTGTGTGAGTATGTATGTGTACGACACATAATAAGCCTTAAGTGTGCTCCATTACGCTGAGGTGATGTGATTATGATAAACTGCTGAAGAGATGGAGGGACACGGAGAGAAAACGAGTGAGAGAGAGACATACAAGAGTGCGAAATATTAGAAAATGGAAGAAATGAAAAAGAAAATTATCAGAAAAGTCTTAAGAGAAATGGGTAAGAAGGTAAAGCAATTCACTTGCCTTTCTTCTTCGTACTTCTGAAAAATTAACTAAGAATAAGATGGAAGGACCAATGACAAGAGGCAGCATGTGTTAACTAAATTGGATGGGGCATCCTT